CGGGAGATGAGACGCGCTCAGCCCCGGTGGGCGAAACCGTTGCTTCTCCAGGCCATGCCGAGATTGATGCTGAGGATGGGGCGAACCCGGCAACGGGTATCATTGTACGCTTTTTACACAGCGAGCCCCGAACCGGACAGAACGGGCAACTCTTTGCTAATTTGCGATGCGGCGATTAGGATGCTGACGACGGAGAAACAGACTCCGCCATCAATGTCGTACGTTGCCCAGTATAGTTATACCGCAACCGTTTTAATGAGAGAACATGATTCGCGACAGAGCCTCATTTCAGGGTACGAGTTAATAGTAGTTATGCTTACCATGTCTCACTCTAGTCAATTCGCGATTCTCTCACTTCCATTCGCTCATCCATCCTTAATTTTGAAGATGAGAATGGACGTCTCTATCACTCTCATTCCCGAGGCAGTAAGTCTTTGTATTGCATATCTAACAGCTATGAGATTGAGCCTGGCCTGATACGTGCGCAGAATACTACTTTCCCCATGATAACGTAAGTTGAGACCGCCACAATGTATAGAGGTAAAAATGTATGTCATATAGCTGATGAGACATTAATAGGTTGAACAAGAGCGTTTGGATCTACAGCACGAGCTCTTCATGAGGACGTTCAGAGGGCGCCTTTGCACATGTCCAAAGTCTTACGGTGCTAACAGAGTCCTGGACCTCGGAACGGGAACCGGAATCTGGGCTCTGGAATATGGTCAGTCGTGTGCGCATGGTACATATGATTAGCCTGACTAACGGTCAATTAGCGGAGGAGCATCCCGAGTCTGAAGTGATCGGGGTGGATATCAGTCCAGTGCAGCCTGACTTGTAAGTGACGCCACATATGCTTGAAGCTGCCACTCACTGTCGAGGTCATGACCGCTGATAATCTTCAAGTATGCCTCCCAACTGCTCTTTTGAGATAGATGACCTGGAGAAGCCATGGACATGGTCAAAACAATTCGACTTCATCTTTTCTAGGACTTTGAGCGGCAGCATTCTGGACCCAGCCAAGCTAGTTGACAGCATTTACAAGTAGATCGTCCCTAAATATCTCCATCCCGATGGCAAGCCCGTTATTCTAACGCCTGATGATATAGCCAACTCGAACCCGGCGGCTGGTTCGAAGCACAAGATGTCTGCATGGAAGCTCGGACCGACGACAACACACTACCTGAGAACAGCTACTTGGCGCAGTGGGCCGATGAGGTGGTTGACGCTATGGAAAAGATCAATCGGACTCTCAAGCTTCCACTCAAGTGGAAGCAGCTTCTCATCGATCGCGGCTTTGTAGATGTCCGAGAGACCATTTATAAATGGCCAACCAACACTTGGCCACGAGACAAGACGATGAAGGATATTGGCGGATGGGGGCTAGCCAATCTTGACTACTTCCTTGAGACAGCAGCTCTCGGTATCTTGACCAACATCAAGGGCTGGTCAAAGGAGGAGGTCATTGTTCTGTGCTCGCAAGCAAGAAAGGAAATGCGTGATCCGAGGATCCATGTTTGGTGGCCTGTGTAAGTTTTCTCGTTGCGACGGAAATCATGTGGAAATTTGCTCTCAGCGCTATTACTGACTCAAACTGCTAGATATGTCGTTTCTGGTCGGAAGCCAGGAAATTCAACTCAGGCGCCTGTTGAGCCCTCGACAGCTTGAGTTGCCTGACGTCGTCAAACGATGATGGCCACCAGTCATCATCACTCGTCAGGGGTCCATCCAAAGGCATCCCTGAAGAGTCTCTTGATACCTATGAAAAGACACATGAGGTCCGACTATTGCGGCTTATGCCTAATAATTGTGATGGAAATCTGCTTTGAGGCTGTCCTGTGTCGACAGAAATTACTTTGAGGAATGGCTTCAGCCACTTGAATTCCAACGTTCCCTTTACAGAGTGTGAACCCCGCGGTAATCACACAGAAGCTATGCGCGTCTAACAAGATCCGCTAAGCTACAGTTCATCTGGTCTCTCTGAGCCAGCTTCAGTGCCTTGATTTTCTTGCTGATTGCGCTTCTGACTGTTGAGATTTTCAGCCTCCACTCTTTTTCAGAGACCATTGTGAGATCGGAACCAACTTACTCTCTTCGTCTGTACATGTACCACATAAGTGAAACGCTAATGATAGCAAGGCCTCCGAAGAGTATGAGGATTTGATAACCGTACTTGTACTTCGGCGCATCATAGGTAGGAAATAGAACCACTAGGAATTTGTTAGCACAAAAGACTTGTGGTAAACTCCGGCTAGCGGCTTCAACTCACAGGGTACCCAAAGAACCCAAGCGTAGGAAACAACATTTGCGGTGGCCACAAGCAGTTGTCTGAGACTCGGATCTCCCGCGTTAAGTCGATTGGCCCAGCTCTTTACTTTGTGTCAGAGTCTGTCGTTCAAGTGGTTTCTGTGGGGTACTCACGATGAGGACTGGAGTTGCCGCGGATCCAGCATACGAAAGGTAGTACGCAAACATCAAGGCCCCCTTGGGGATATACCACACAGAAAGCAAGATGTTGGACAGTATCATCAGGGCTTGAACAATGACAATCATTGTATAATTCTGTCCGGTTCGGTCTGCGATTATACCCCAGATGACTGTGGCAACGATGTTCAAAGCACTGCCGCCAGTAGGGTAGATGTTTGCATCTACAACGCTGTAGCCAGCAGACTTCAGCCAGAGGTTGAAATAGCTGGTGGCTGTGTGACACGCCGCGACCATACTGCCAAGTTATGTGAGAGGGATGCGACGCAGTTGTACTTCTTCGGGAGTATAACTTACGTGTACGGTACAACAAATACCCAGATCTCCCAACCGAGGTAGATGCGTTTGGCTTCCTTCCATGTCAACTTTTGCTGAGCCTTCTGCCCGAACTTCTCAATCCTATCGATACCATATTTGACATGCTACGAAGAGTGAGTCAGGCATGTTCATTTACAATAGTGACGTGGAGTACATACTTCAGCTGACCAGTAGAATGCTTTCGTGTTATGCGGCAGATCAGGCAATCCAAAGAAACCCCAGAACGCAATTGGAAGCGAGATGATGGCGTCCATGATGAACAGCCATCTCCACCCTGCAATCCCATGACGACCATCCATGCTGGTGTATAGTCCTGCTTGCAAGTAACCGCTGAACATACTGGCAATGGATTCAACTTGCAGGAGTATAGCTAAGCGCTTAGTGAGCTCCTTTGGGCCGTACCAGCCACCCAGCATGGCGATGTATCCCGGGAAAGCACAAGCCTCGAACAGACCGATAAAGAAACGCAAAGCGTACATCTCGTACCGAAAGTTAGTGATATGGGCCATGCTATCTTCCATGGCTTGTACTTACCGTCTTGATATTCTTGGCAAACCCCATGCCGATAACAAGCAGCGACCAGATGACCTCGCACGATGGAATAAGAATCGAGGGTCGGATGAAACTGAGTTGTGACATCTGAGCTGGGACACTGCCGACCATGATGCCTAAACTGAACCAGGTGTTCAGCCAGTTGCGCTCATTTCCGTAGAGGCCCAGGTCAGTCTGCATGCCACTGATGAAGGCATTGCCTGAAGATCAGGGTCAGTAATCCTCAACTTCACAAGCTAATAAGTTTGGCTTACTGTAATTTGTTTGATCCAGGTACTTTATGAAGTAGCCAAAACAAACAGTAGGACTGGTAAATAGAAGGAACTTGTTAGTCCTGGGAGAGCAAAGCCGCACCACACATGGCAAGAGATTGGACTCACAAGAAGAAAGTATCGAGCCTTTGAACGTATTTCCGGTACTCTGGATCTCCATCAACAGAGTCCCATACAAGACCGACAATCTTGCGCCATCGGGAGGGGGTTTTCTCGGGGATTGCCTCTGCGGTGTTTTCTGGGGTCGTGTCTTTGGCGTTCTTGTCCAAATCCGAAGTGGTTTCTGCCACTTCCACAGGGGCAGCGGACTTGATATCCGACATGTCGGCCAGTGATTGGTACCTAGAGAAAACGATTCTGCACGCTCGTCCCAGCAATCTGGTTAGACGCTGATGTTCGGTCGACCTCAGATCGCTATATACTTTGGCTTCCCCGAGAGAAACGATTTTTTCCGAAGCACCTAACCGCATTGAATTAAGTCATGGATATGGCTGATTAGAGCTAGAAAACTTCCTATGCCTGATTTGCTACTGGTGGATGATGCCATTACAATCCCTGTGAGCGAGCTCACCTCCTTGACTCCTTCGGACCCGATTTTGTTCCAAACTAGCCTTGGATGTAATCTGCATGTACGCGCAGACAGAATCTGTTCCATCTGGCGGCTTTCGAAATGAATGACAGTGCCTCAAGGTAGTCGTGCCGTTCTCGGATGTTGCAGCAGAAGGAACCCAATGTCATGGCTGTCCGCCCCACCATGTCGTTATCTCGCTCCGCTCTGTCGCCTTACTTGATGTCCGGCATCTTTGCCGGTGCTTGACAACTTCCCGGCAAACTTGATTGCACTAAATCTGACCATTGCACAGAGAACTTGACTTCATTTGGATGTGAAAAGCCAGAAAAATCTCACTTTACAATCTGTCAACCTCAGTTCACGAAGAAACCCTTCAGAGGAAACATCACAGTATCTGAACTGTTCATTAATAATGTTGCATTGGGAGCAAAAGGCAATACTTCGATTACATAGGGGCACCTGATAATCGGTCGGAGCGTTTGAGTCGTGCCTTGTGGAAGGTAATAATAAGTCGACTCTCATTTTCTGACCATTAAAGGCACGGTATCCATGCCCGGCTACATCCTGGAGCGATTTGATTCAACCGGACTGTCCATGTATCCACAGCTCTTCCGGCAGGGTACTTCCTCCTCTCTCCGCGATCGCAAGGTAGCTTGGATGTTCTACTCATTCCGGTATTTTATCATGCCCGGCAACGCTAAAGTGCTGATACCGTCAGTTCGAATTGAAGACAGTCTGGCAGGCCTCCTATTAATCAATTACCAGAACCTCCACGATTAGAGGACGCTCTTCAAACTCTTTACATCATGACGCCAGAAGTCCTACGACTTTCTTTGGAGAATGTCGATTTCCGGCTTCCGACACAAGTCACAGACGACAATAGTGTTACAGCACTCAAAAGTTTAGTCTTCGAGCCCCTCCTCCGATGGCAGTCCCATGGCCGCGTTGAGCCTGGGCTTTTTGACCGATGGGAGCGGTCCCCCGATGCCCGAATCTGGCAATTTCACATCCGAGAAGACGCCTGCTTTCATGATGGCGAGCCTTGCAAGGCTAAAGACATCGTCACTTACATCAATGGCCTCCTGGACTCAAGAGACTACTTTGGCATGCGCTGGAGTTACAGCCGCTATTTCTCGCAAACCAAATTCTCTGCCGAGGATGATCGGACTGTAAAGGTGACAAATGCGGAACCATTCGCGGATATCGAGGGTATCTTCTGCGAGTTTTGGCCTTCTCGCATCGACAAGAATGGCAAGCCGGTGCTTGGAACGGGCCCATTCCGTGTCATCGAGTTCGAGCGGAAAGATAGCACGGGTAGAGCCGTTTTGCAGCGGCTGAATCCGACGCGACATGGCTCACCTCATACTATCATAGCGACGATGGAACCAAATGCTGCCGAAAGACTTCGGCTTCTGCGTGCGGGAGAGGTCGATGCTGCCCTCAATCTGGAGCGGGTAGCTAATCTTGACCTTCTCAATTTCGACTCTGGATTTCGATGGGGAAGAGTGGCAAGCACCCTATCGGCTATTTACTATCTCAACTGCACGGATGGTATCTTTACTTCACCAGACGCACGTCTGGCTGTGAACCTTGCGTTGGACAATGACGCATTGGTAAAGGAAGTATACCATGGGTTCGCAAAGTCATCCGCTACAATCGTCAGCCCCTATCATCTTGGCTTCCCAGAATCACAATTGCAACACATTCCCTACGACCCCGACAGGGCCAGGGATCTCCTGAAAGATTTCGACAAAGGCACACATCTTGTCTTGAGAACCCCAGTATACATGCCAGAGCATGCCCAAAAGATCTCGAAATTCGTGGCATCATCCTTGGAGGCCGTTGGCTTTCAGGTCGAAATCAAGGTTGAGACCAATAGACCAGAATATGCTCGCCAAATCGGACTCAAAAAAGAGATTGGAAGCCTCGCGTTGTTTGACTCAACCCCAAACAGCACCTTTCGCGTTTTGGATGATAAGATCTCCAGTTCGTCGCGTGCAACTTGGTGGCTTGGTTATCACGATGACAAGTTGCAAGAACTATTTTACGAGGCGCGAAACAAAATTAACTACGAAGACAGAGCGGAAGCATATGCGAAGACTCTGAAAAGGTTACAGCAGAATCCTCCATGGCTGTATATAGGTCATCCTGACGTTATTTGGGCAACAAGACACAATGTTGGACTTCAAATTGGGCATTCGGGAATACTCACACTCGATTAGTGAGCCGGAACTTTAGGAGGAGAAGAGAACGTTGTAGAAATCATTGGAGGCTGCAGCAGCATTCATCTTTCTGTGGTGATACTTGAGCTTACATGTATTTATGAGCAAGAGCAAAAGGATATGAATCTTCTTCACATGAGGTGTATCATCGTGGCCTTCTCATTCGAGCCCAACCTTCTTGATGCCGTCTTTCTGAAGTTATCCCGATAGGAATTCTTCCTGCAGAACCTCCGCAATGGGCCCGAAGACTCGGATCCACTCACATAACGCCTCGGTATATAAGTCGGCCGATGTCGCCGACTGCGCTGCACGTTTCAGTCCGATACTTCCTTGATCGATGCATGTAACTTTTCAAGCTTGCAATGAGCACCTCGGTATCCATCGACAGCCTGCAAGCGGCGGCTAAAAGATATGGCACCGAGCCACTCCTAGTCTTACCAGATGGTGCGACTGTCGATTTATCGAAAGGTTACATCCCACTACTCGCACGATACACTTTCGAAGACAAAGCCGCCCAAGGTCTACGGAAGCGCAAGGCCGGTGACAAGTCTGAAAATCCGATTCACTTCTCTGCTCTTGAACTAGTCCGCGACAACTCGATCTTGCTCTTGACGGGACCCAGCGGGAGCGGGAAGACTACATTTGCTAAGCACCTCTGCCACAGCCTAGCTTCCTCTGGATTCAGCAATGCGCGACCACTACCTCGAAACGACCTAGGTGATATCAAGGAAGAGAATTGGGGTGCCAGCAGATTGTCTCCGTGCTATTTCTCACTGAGTGGTACCGAGTCTCTGAAACGGTTGGCTGATGTAACAATTCCACAACTTCTTGGCGCATCTGGTTCTCAGCACGAGCATCTGCTCATCGTCCTCGATGATCTCCAGACCGCAGGGGATGAACTGATCTCTGTTCTGGCAAAAACACTGGCCCTAATACGAGAGCGAACCTACACCAAGCTACTCTTGCTTGGCGATACAGATGTCCTTGACCGCTGGAGCTTCTCGGCCGTCGTGCGACACGAGTTGCTTCCCTTGCTAGAGTGTCAAAGAAGGGAGGCAGTGCGTTCTCACCTGAATTTGGATCCGTCGACTATCATAACAACTGGCATGGGTGAAGCTGCGTCGAGCCCGGCCATGTTTGCTCTCGCGGTTCAAGCCAATCACTCTGGAAACTGTGCCGAGGAGCTGCTAGATGCGTGGCTTTCGTCCACCCACTCGCAGCCAGATGCTGCATCGCTTCTAGCAGAGAGGTCATACAAGCTGATATTCCACAGCTCATTAACCACCGGTCCGACTGAGATGTCGTTGACCGCGATTCAGCCCAATCCTGCCTTGCGAAGCCTGACGGTGCAACGGCTCCTAGCTGCGCGGCACCTAGCTGATTTGACACCGCAAATCGCTGTCGGCCTCTTTCGTGATCAGCCTCATGCTTCGGATGATGTTCTAAGAAGCTGCTTGTCGCGTCTCAGCTCCTTACATGGGTCTGGCGTTCTTGTCGACGGGCTCCTCGGGGGCACACCAGCTGACGCTAAGCGCGCTGCCTTACTGGTGGCTGGCCTTATTCCATTATCCGCGGAAGTCGAAAACAAGGTTATGAAGCTGCTTCTAGAAATCGTCGAGAACGGAGATTGCTCGGCTGGTGAACGCGAGAAAGCCGGTCGTCTACTGTCAAAGTCTGGCGACCCGCGAGATCTGACTGAACTCGCAGAGGTTCCCGCCGGAAGCTTCATGATGGGCTCTGAAAGTCATCCCAATTCGCAGCCTCTGAGTAGAGTTTCGCTCGAGAGGTTTCGCATCGGTGTCTATCCTGTCGTCAACAGAGACTACGCCGCCTTTGTGAAGGAAACTAGCCGCGAATGGCTCAGTCCTGGTGGCAAGGACCCGGAGAAAGCAAATGCACCAGCGACCGATCTTACATGGCATGATTCAAGGGCTTACTGTCAATGGCTCACAGAAAGGTGGAGAGAAGAAAAAAAGATCAGTTCGAATGAGCACGTGAGGCTTCCTTCAGAGCCAGAGTGGGAGTGCGCGGCCAGGGGTGGCCGGGATGAGACGGGCACTGAAGGGTTGGCTTTTCCTTGGGGCACAGATTGGCAGGAACATACTGCCAATAGCGACGAGACTGGCTTCAATACGACCTGTGCTGTTGGTCTCTTCCCAAGGGGGCTCTCGCCGTACGGCTGCCACGATATGGCGGGGCATGTATGGGAATGGTGCTCAACTCTCTGGGGCGAGGACATGACGATGCCAGCTTTCCAGTACCCTTGGCGGGATGATGGGCGAGAGTCTTTAGATGCCTCGAACCATGTTCGAAGAGTACTGAGAGGCGGATGCTTCTCGAGTCCCAAGTTGAAGGCAAATTGCACGTATCGAGGTAGCCTCGAACCAACAGGATTCTGGAGAGGCAATGGGTTCCGCATCGTTGTTGCGCCGCTAGACTCACAAGATTAAAAGAAAGCAGACAACTCCTCACTTTGAACCCTTTATAATCGATACTGGAAAGACTCTCAGCAATTAGACTCATGCTCAAACTGGTTATTCCTGGCTTCATCTCGTTGTGTCAAAGATCGGGAGAACGTCATCACGTTTGCCGGTCATGCCGGTATTCGGCGGGTCCAACTTCTAAAGTTCCGGCGCAGTGGATGCAGCTCAGACTCGGCCGGTGTCGGGGGCAATTGCGGGATCTAGTCAGAAACACAATAGTGGATAAGCATCGCGTCATGTTGCCTATGCCTGGGAGTATGGTTCATATACGTGCAGCTTGTTTATATGTCCGCTTGATCTCTGTCAGTCTATCTAGGCAGATGGTATTCCTAACATTATTCTCAAAGACTAATTGTTAGTTCAAAAGTTCGAAAACATACCTGGCAGGCTACCGAGCTCGATCTAACGTGTCAGCCACCTTCCGCGAATATGCCGATTATTTCCGATTTCAAGCTTCCGGAGAATGCGAGCGCCCTAGGACGGTATACCTCAAATTCCACAGCCCCCTTTTTCATCACATTCACTACGTCGGACCATCCTGATACGGGAGAGTCATGGTGTCCCGATGTCCGAGCTGCACTCCCTCGCATCATTGCCGCCTTCTCGCCTTCAAGCGCACCGGAGATGGCCTTCGTTGAAGTAGGACAGCGGCCTGAGTGAGTAGCTGGAAGCTTGAGCTTCACAACTTTTTGGGGCGAGTAAGCTAAATATTAGTGGCAAACCAGGTGGAGAGTCCCTACAAATGTGTTTCGCACCAAGTGGAACGTCAACAATGTGCCGACAATTGTTCGGTTTGAGCTTTCAGATGGCGAACTGAAAGAGACGGCTAGACTGGTAGAAGGCGAGATACTGGATGAGAAGCGATTGAGAGGACTAATCCGCAACAATCAATGAGATGTTGACCTTAGATAGTGAGTACCTAGCCCCGAACTCCCACTCACCCGCGAGAGGGCTGCAAAGTAAGCTTTCAGGCGTGATGTAAGCGCCATGGCAAAGCTTGTTTTCCTGGCCAAATGATCACCATCTTTGCTTTCCACACAGCACCATCATCGCATTTCTCGGCTAAGGTGGTGATTAATCCAGGCAGCAGCATCTAATTTACCGTCTTAGCCGCCTATTCAAGCTTGAGATGACGAGCCTGTGCCGCTCGCTAACATCGATCGGTACTAGTCTACTGAGCCAATCTCGGCCGCATTGGCTCCCGTTTGCTGGTGCTGAGGATCAGGGGCAAATATAAATCCTTCGGAAAATTCTCAGTCATCGTCAACAAACATGGTGTTCTGATGCGTGTCGTTCTATTCTAAAAACTCTTTTCCCGTCTTCACAGATCGTAATTTTACTTTTCATAATCGCCTCTTATTCAACCAGCGTTTTTCCATCAGTCGCTCGCTACAGATCTACGACCAGTCACTCAACGCATCGAACATGATCTCATCAACATTCCTCTGCCCAATGGGCGTTTTGCTAGCAGGCGCGTCGCGTGCCTTGGCTTTCGACCGCATTAGCATACCGACCACGGTCAAGGCTGACACCGACGTCGAAGTCACCATACAGAACGACATCGCATCCGGTAGCAAGTCTTTCGACGCCGGTTTTACCAACTACAACCTCTACCTCTCAACCACTCCACCGGGATGGGGCACCGGCCCCGTGTGCGTCCTCGCCAACGGGACAAAGATTGACGTCACCTCCGTGAAGGTGAAAATCCCCGCCGACGCGATCCCTGACGGTTCCGACTTCAAGATCACCGCGATGGAGTGGAACTCGGATCCGACCAAGGACGGGCCCTCGGGCTTCGAATACAGCAATGACTTTTCCTTCTCGGGCGGTACGGGACAATGGGGCAAGACGGAGCTCGGAGGGTCCACGCTGGGCGACATGGATCGCATCCCGTGCACGGCGTACGCGTGCGCGCGCAACTGCAATGACAAGTATTTTGACGAGAGGAACACGACGAGCGAGGATCCTAGTGTCTACAAAAACACATACGAATGCGTCGCCGCATGTCCCGGCACAACTTTCCCGTCCTGGGATTCAATCATCAACGATAACGGGGGTGGGCAGGGCTCAGGCTCCAGTGCGGGGCCCTCGGGAAGCGCTTCGGCAACGGCAACGAGATCCGGTGCGTTGGCGACAGCCTCAACGTCTCCGACAGGGTCTACTTCTACTCCGATATCAGCCCAAAGTAGCAGCTCGCCTTCTCAGACACCTAATGGTGTCGCCTCGGTCACTGCCAAGGCCTCTGGGCTTGTCTTTGCTGGCTTGGCCATCGCGTTTAGCTTTCTCTAGTCATGAATTCGGCGATCATGGGCCATGTACGGATCGTTCGTAGTGTAGTGTAGGATAAATGGTGCGCTATCCGCAGATACTAAGATATTCTTTAATATTACTCATCAAGCCACTAAACATGCACACTATGTACGGTTGTTTTCTCGGCGAGAAATCCCAATGGGGAAATTTATTCCACTCATGATCATGACAAATCCCATATCGCTAGACCGACAATCCGCGGGCATAGAAATGACCCTCCAATGACTGTGAATTCTGGTAGCATGCTGCCATGTCCCACGTTGATGCGTCGGCCTAGGACAGAATCAGTAATAATCTCCCGGTGGTTGTACGCACATGCGATCATAGCGACAGTTTCTTGGTCCCCGGACCGAGAACTTAAATAAGTGACAGCTGCATCTACGGATAGTCAGTTGCCTATAGATACAAGCTACAAAGACTGGCCAGGCTGAGCGATCTTGATCCTCTGATAACTGAACGGTTCCGATGCATACTTTCCTATTTGCCCACTACACGCGCGCCAAGGCGGGAGGAGCATCCCACATCGCCAAGGTAGTGTCTATGGCCTTTACGAATGCAGACCTACTAGTGGCTCGGGTCGGGTACACCGTACTATAATTGTTGCATGCAACCTCATTGAGATACACGCACCTCAAGCTGTTGTTGATCAAGGTAGCATCAAGAGGTCCACCTAGTGAATATTTGCCAGATAACTACCTTAAAGTGGCACCGACACATTCCGATTTATGACTGTTCAAGAGGCAGCTAAGCTACCCATCTACAGTTTGCCTCCGACCAAGTGGCTCCAAACTCATACTTCATGGGCTTGAAAATCATGCCGAATTAGTAATTATCATTCTTAGCCTCAAAGGCTGAAGAATTGAATGCATGCTATGACTCAAGATCACTGTGAGTTTACCACAAGTGCACGAAAACATAGCCGTATTTGCCGTTGCAGAGGCGGCCGCGGGTAATAGTCGGTGAGTACTTTGATGATGATGGCAGCCCACATCGAGTGCCCAGTATTGCGTATATTCAAAATGAATGACGAACGCGACGAATTCCTTGTGTGCGTATCTTACTCGAAGCTTTTCGTTTTCGTCAATTTTTGATAGAGAGGTAAGTGCAGAGTCTGCATGACTATTGCCGAAAAATAGCCCCGGGATCCAGTTTCCGAAATATGAACCCACGGAACTGTCTTGAAATTAGCCAGAAGAAGCACTTGCTCATGGTACCAAGTGAGGTGCAACTCTGGTCGCACGGTCGTATCTTTGTATTCTTGCGAGAAGAAAAAATAACCAAGAGAAAAGAGAGAAGTCTGAGACTCGCTCGATGCAATCCAATATAATTAGCGGACGTACAACTGTCGGGGCATGAGGTGCTTTTCGAAGTTCAGAATGCTCTGATTCTCCAAGTCTGCTTATGATGTACCTGCAGGGCTTGTTGGAGCTAGACCGGACATAACTCGCAGTAAAGCCCGTATGATGACATGGAACATAGAATTTCGATGCACTCCGCCTAACCCACAACCTATTCATAGAACGTAGAAACCCAGATCAGGTAAGCGTTTCGCAATGAAAGGTTTGCCTTTACACAGGATTACGATGGATCGTTGCCGATTTCGATAGAATTCGGCCACATGTTAACTCCGTCTTACTGATGTTCATTGTTCAAGTTATTGGCATTGTGGATTTCATATGACTTTGATTTCTTGGATGATGGGCCTGGCGGAAATTGAAACAGGGGACTAAAAATTACAATGTACGTGTAGATCCAACGGTACGGAAAGTGTACATATCCTGGCCTGTTTTCTTAGCGTTGGTGGTCGAGATGGGATATTATCCGCCGAGTCTCTACCAGATGTAGCTGGCAAACTGACAAATCGCCACTGCATTTCGGTCTCGCTTCTGACCAGTTAGCATAACATCGCTCCTAAAAAGTTTGAGCTGCCCTGCTAATGTCTGCGGAAAGTCCGCTCTTTACATGCAAAACTGCACCGGCCGGGCTTTAACCTATTAGAGTCTAAACAGCTACCCCTGTCTTTGCTCGTCCAATCCAAGCCCGTGCATCCCCGCGAGCTCCACGGATTCCGCGGCTCACAAAAACAAAAAGGCTCGAAGAACCCGTAAGGAAAAGGGAAGCTGTAGGCGTACGGAATCTCAGCCCGACCCAGTAGTCTAAGGGCATTTGTCGAAAGGGCATCCTCATACTTGTAATTCGGCGACGTGGGCTTTCCGTCACATCATGGATCCGGAGCCGCATATGCCCAAAACAAGCGTCATTCCTAGAGCTGTATGCCTTCACTTTCGGAATCCGCGCACCTGGCGGCCGAGTATGCTAACTACCGGTATCCCACTCTAGTGCCACAACTGTCGGATCCGTAAGGTATTCATAATTCTATGTCCGAGTCCCCTGTCGTCAACAGCCGGCCGAGACCTTCCGGACCTGATCCGTCGCACGCGTTCCGCGCCATCTCCTCCGCGCTCCCATTCGCTTAGCATTCGAATGTTCACAATCGCCGAGCTGACGAGTAGAGTTCTAGACACGCTGCAATCGAGAGGTTCCATGTTCCAACTGCATCACATCGAAGATTCCATGCCGCCCGGCAGGGCGACACACTGCACAGCGGCCAACAGTTGAGAGGGCCGAAAGGTACCGGTGACAAATGGCGCCGTAACCGAGTGATTTTGGGTTCGAGCTGACATTTCAGCCGCAGCCACAGCCCTGGTGCGCCGACAATTCATCAACTGCATGAGAGATTGAAAGCCGTCGAAGAATCTCTCAGGAACCAAAATGACCAGCACGCCAATAGGGCGACATCGATCTCTACGCCAAATACGATCCCGACCATTGAGGATGATGCAGTCTCGCATCACTGTCTGTGGGAAGACCACCACGTCTCGTACGAGGGCGAATCTTCATTCAGGCAACAGACTCTACTTGCAAGTCAGATAGAGGAACTTCGACTTGAAGAGGCGCAGACCCCAGGCGTGATTGACGAGCTTGCAACGTTACGAGGGATATGCCAACGACAAGAGACCCCCGTAGAATCGCGATCGAACCGGAAGATTCGCCATCGAACCGGAAGATTCGCCAGCCTCATTCAACAAAAGGGGCGGAGTTGCAGCTTCCACCATCTGAGTTTGTGATTCGTCTTCTTCGGACTGTGAGCCGTAAGTTGCCGCAAGCTGGCTTTCAATCTCAGCCGAGAAGCTAAGCTATCGTGCAAAGCAGATCACTCCATCTTGTTCCTATTCTACGCAGTCGAAAATCGCATTCAAGTCGAAGAACTCTGTCGAAGGGTGTACTTCTCTGTAGAGCCAGTGACGATTGGAGAAGTTACCTTGCTGAACGGCTTCTTGTCGGTGCTCCTCAGGGACATCGATTTCGAGTCAAATCCCGAATTCAGTCCAGAAGAAGCCAACCGGCTGTACACCATGTGCAACTCCAACTTCAAGGCTGGAGTCGAGACTTACGAAGTGATGGCGGTACCTACATTCGAGCATACCCTCATATTATCCATAGCGGTCAGTAAAGCGCGAATCTGGTCCGTGTTATATCTTCGAGACGGTCGACCATGTGAACTGACTCGAGTTTCGGGCATGTAGTGTCTAAAGGCACAACAGGATGGTAACTTGCCGCTACAATGGAGCCTCATGTCCGCTGCCGCCCGCCACGTCCTAGCGTTAGGTTATCATCGAAGGGGGAAGTTGGCCGCGTTACCGAACCAAGAAGCGCGGCGGGCACGACGACTCTTCTGGCACGTATACTTTGCAGACCGGGGATTGACCCTCACACAAGGAAAAGCGCCAGTTATACAAGACATTGATGTCGATGTCGAACCATTCGAAATCATTCAAACGCCGGAGAGGAAGCCCTGGGATACCTCATTCTCCGCCTTCATCGAATTTGGGAGAATACAATGCAAGATCTACGAAAAGCTTTACTCTCCTGCAGCATCCCGCTCTACGGAGGAGGAGAGGCGGGCCATAGCAGTCCATCTTGCAAAGCGCCTATCGACGTGGTATGAATCATGGCGCAGCGTCGACTATTCCCTCGCATACCGAGTAGAACTGTTTCAGTTCACGTTTGATGCGCTCGAGGTCGTTTACTATTCCATTCTAACACTCATACATCGTGGCGCAAGCAGCTCGAATGCAGCCAGCGCCATCACGGAGGAATGCTTCGAGGCAGCTAGGAAAGGCTTGACCGCCCATGCAACCGCATACCCCCGGTCCGCTTCTGGGGGATATGCCTCTCTATTCACTTATGCCGTCTGGTATGCTACTTTTCCTCGTCCCAAAGGTCAAAGACTGTCAGCTAATCCTCGAGTAGGACACAGCTCTATTCCTCATATACGCCATACATTATCACATTTCTCCACTGCATCAGGACCTCGGACGATCAAGACCTAAACCTGATGCGCTCCTCCTTGGAGATCAGCGAGCGCCTAAGTGGCTTGGTGGAATCCTGCAAGAAGCAATATGAATTATGTCGGGCCCTGTACCGCATAGCAGAGGCCTACATCAAGGCGAAGAAGGGTGTCGCATGTACCGCCGTACCGGCTGAGACTACCATCACTCTACCCCTACAACAACCGACGTCTGATAGCTGGCCCTGCTTCGAGTCAAATCTGGAGGCGAACCCGTTCCCGGACCTGCACGTCGATGACTGGAATGGCTCTTACATGGGACAGATGTCATTCACCTTGGAGAACCATCTCGGAAAGGGCAGTCATTAGCTAAGATGATAGCAAACCACCCCATAACATGTTATTGTTGGTATCCCTATCACAAGGTATTTAGTTCGAACCGTGGGTTGACGAAGAGATCAATCAAATTATAATAATGTTTGCGTACCTAGGTGTAAAAAGGAGGTTCTAACCCTAGGTTAGGTAGGCTACGATAATCGGAAGTAGGGGCCGTAATTGGCCCTTGCGTAGTCGGCCGTATGCCGAGGTCGAATTGGACTTCTAATCCGATAGTTATGCTTCCCAGGTCGGTTGAGAGGTGACCTAATGCCGGAATTTTACCTCATGCAGTGTACAAGAGTTCAAGGCCTCCTCCGATATTGCCTCCGTCGATCGATCTACTCCCACACAGAGCCCTTCGTAGAATCAGGATGACTACATAGCTTCTAGAATTCGGTAACATTAGTTGCAGGTCACATAGGTTTGCCAGACATTATCGGGGCCTATCCAGACGAATGGCCAGACTTAAGGGGATGGGCTGGCGGCTCATAGATGATACAGTCATCCCGAATGCTCTAGTTCTAGGCATTCCCGGTGTCGTTCGTCCAGGTGGTCACTAGAATGCCGCCCTGTCCATCTGAAGTGGCCTGCGTCCATGTCAATAAGTAGGCCATAGGGGTAAAATCAGTATTATTAATATTAGCATCAGACCAGGAAGGTCCCAAAAAGAGTTCACCCCCCCGGTGCTGAATTGGGGGCTACATCTCTGGTGCTCATACTGGGATTCGAACTCGGGTACTCGCTAAGCCTGTCGTCGAGTAGGCTGGTTGGCGTAGAATTGAATGTTGACCTCAAACCACTCCACCACCCAGCCAGTTTGACCTGACCCGTCGACCTAGACGGGCGCCTGCTGGCTGGTGACTGGAATGTCGTTGAGGGGGTATACATGGGCTTTCTCCCGTGTATCCAGGTCCTCGTGGGGCTGAAAGATTATCGGATGAAAGTTTGGTGGCTGTGGTCGGCTCTGCCTGGTCCACCAACGCCGGACTACTCCAGACAGTCACGTCTTCATGGAAAGGAAGGCACGTTTAGCGACACATATCTTATCTCCAAAGAATATACCTTGTGATTGAGGCCAGGCGTGACAGGAGTCATCTAAAGGCGACAACCTCTCAGTTACATGTAGTGCTCAAGCCAAAGTGGTGTGTATCGCGTGCATAACTTAGGCAGGCCAACGCAATGGACTTAGTAGGAAAGCAGCAGAAAATGGGAAGGAGCCTCGAGGGGCAAAAAGTCGTAGGGGTTTCTTGTTCAACTTGTTGAAGGGAGTCGGAGTCAACTCCCGCTCCTACGCGCAGTTTTCACCTCAATCAACTATCGGACGGTATCAAAATCGTGCTTATTCGCCCTTGTAATGGATAATATTCATGTCCACCGCCATCTACCCGCCCAGCCCGAACCTGTACATGAGCACTGGCAAGGATGAAGGAGGAGATACTGGGGCTTTGGGAGCCTCAGAATATGCCATACTATCAAAGACGCATGTCAGGACCTCATTGGAGCTCGGAACGATGCCTGCGATGGAACTCATCTCTTGTCTTGGTGATGACTTTGATGTACACTCGCAGCTTCTAGGCAACCGCACTTTCAGCAGTCACGTAATACTTCTTGGCCTCTCACCCAGAGGTTTTGTCCAAGCTTACCCACAAAGTCTTGTCCACTTTTCAAGCGGAGGGAAAAATCAACACCAATTTTGCCCAGAAGCTTCGACTGAACCCGTCTCTTCCTCACTCTTCGCCGTTGGTGGTGCGCAAGGGAGGCGACCTTTTCTGTGGGTTCTAGGTACCAGAAGGGATAAGTCGCCATCTTTATACCGCCAGCTGTTAAAGTATCAGGATAAGAGCTGCAGAAAGCATTCACTGCTTTTACGTACAGACCGTCATTGGAATTTCACAGTGGTCGATGTATCATAGCTCTCAGAACTTCACGATCCCATCGGTCTTTATATCACGAGTTATAGCACGTAGTAATAGGCATATAGAGTATAATAAAAGTAGCTTAACATATTAAAATAAAAATAAATAAAAAGAAAAGGTCTATATATATAATATTTAAAATAAATACGTAATTTAATACGTAATAAGTACTTCGTAAAATACGGTTATTATCCTTATTATATAATATACTCCCTAATAACTATTATTAAAGAGCTATTATACTTAAAATAGAACCTCTAAATACTCTTATAAAAGCCTAATTTAGTTAAATATAAATAAAAAAAAATAAGTATAAGAGATATACGTTTTTTAAACCGCGTTTATTATAAATATATCCTTTTATTTAAAATAAATAGAATCTTAACTTAGAATAGTACGTATTTTACTATTTTTAATATATAAATTACTAAGAATAAGGCTACTTAGTTATTTTATATATATTTAAATTCTTATAGCGTTATTTAATTATTATTTTTTTTCTTTTTTTTAACTTTTTTATAATTATTATAAATACCCCCGTTTATTATATACGCGTACTTATATTATTAAATTATTTACTAATTTTATTTTAAATATAAATATTTAATATATCTAAAAATAATAATAAGTTTTACGTAATTTTTATAATACTTCTTATATATATATTATATAGTTTATTAAGAATTTAAATAAGTAATAATATTAATAAGCCCCTTTAAGTCGTTACCCCCCCCCTATAACTTCTTACTTATTTATTAAGGCCCGGTTACTAAGTTTTCTTTTTTTAATTAAAAAAATATCGAGGTTACTAATTAAAACGCTAAAAACTTTATTAAGTTTAAAGCTCTTATTAATAATTATAATAAGAGTAATAATAAAATAAATAGTAATAATAAGAGCTTTAAAAAGCTTTTACTTATCCCCCCCTTAGAATTTAAAAATAAGAATAAAAATATTTTAAATATTAAGCTTTTTAAAAAGGGTATATTAAATATTATTATTTTAAAAGTTCGTATTTAATATTATTTTAAAATTTAAAAAATATAAAACTAGCTCTTTTTAAAAAAGTAATAAAAAATAAAAAAGAATATTAAAAAGCTAAAGTACCTCCTATAATAAGTATAGTTCTTTTTACTATTCTAAGCCTATTTAATATATACTTAGTCCTTAAAAAGCTTAAAAAAGTAGTTCCTAAGGAATAAGAAGTATAATATATACCCTATTTTTAAATAGCCCTTTAATATACTAACTTTAAGAATAGTAATTATTATTTTATAAAAAATAATGACTAGTATACGTACTATTTTAATAGTCGTTCGGCTATAGAGTATATTAATATATTAATTATTTTATAGTTAATAACCTAGGCCTTTACTAAAGCTATTATTAATAGCGCTTTTCTTTTTATAAATATATTATCCTTTTTTATTATTAAAAAGCGTACTCTTAACTATAGTTTTAATAAAATATTAATAAGCTCCGTAGTATTATTTATTATATAAAAAATAATAAGAAAATATATAAGAACTATATTAAGTTTTATATAGAGGATTTTTTCTTTATACGCCCCCTACTCCCTCCCTTAAGTATATTTATATTATTAATTATATTTAATATAGTTATTTATAACTAGCCCTTTATTATATTATTTATTTTTATACCCTAAGTTATTAATTTAATAATTATTCTACTTTTTACGCCCCTTATTACTCTTATTATTCTTAGTTTTATAAATTTTAAAATATATAAAGTATAGTTCTTAATACGTATACTTACCTTCCTCGTTAATAACGCTATAATCTTAGTAATTACGTACTTTATAAACTAGGAGTTTATTTTAGGCTTCTAAGCTATACTCTAGGTTCTATCTATCGTCTACTTTTAGGTATTAAGTTTTTTTAAGCATAGCCTAAATTAATTATTTCTAATTATTTTAACTATTTATAATAACTTCTCGCGCATTATAAAAATTAAAAAATATATAAAAATATTTAAACTTAGCTTATAAAAGGTTTTTAATACGTTTATTTATTAATATATTTTTTATTAATATATAAATAACCTCGAAGCTATTTTTAATATACTCTTATCTTAGCTATATATTTTATATATTAATATAATAAAATTAAGTAGCTATTTTTTCCCTTTTTTTTATAACGAGTTAAATTATTTACTAATTATTATAATTAACTAACTATATTTTTCCTAAGTTAAAAGTAATATCCTTTAAAAAGCGTTTTAGAGCTATAGTCTTTTTTATAGTTTTTTTAAAATAAAAAAGCTTAGTTTTAGTAATTAACGTCGTAATTATTACTTAGCGTACTAATTTTTATTAAATTAGGCTACTAAAAAAGAATATTATATATCCCTAAAATAATCGTCGTATTACTTTATTATTTATAAAGTTAATATTTTTAGTTAGAAATAATAATTATATACTTAGTATATTACCGTAATAAAGTATAAAATATTTTATTATATAAAAATATTAAATATAGTAATTAATTACTTTAATATAAGTTATATTTAAGTTAGTTAAGAACCGTAATAATTATAAATAAGTAAAAGTAACGTCCGGTTTAATTATTATAGCTATATAAAGTATATTTCTAACCTTTTTTTAATAACTTTTTTTTTTTTTTTATTACCTACCCCTCGTTTAGTTTAAACTTATTTTAAAAAAGAGGGGTAGCTAGATTTAATATATTTATAAAGTCGAAGTACTAAGTAACTTATTTAATATATATATTATAAATAAAGTAAACCTTATAAGTAATATAGTTTTATAAAATCCGTATTTTAAAAAAGTAATTAATTAGTCTATTTTCCTTAAGGTTAATATATTTTTTTATATTATTAACAATCCCCTAAGCCGCTTTTTAATTATTTTTAATAATATAGAATAATAAAGTTATTAATATAAAATATTAATATTACTTTCTTATTTACGGTTTAGTAAATATAAATCTCCTCGTAGCTATATATTATATTTATATTATAAAGTATAAAAGTAAAAGTTTAGAACTAAAAAACTAGTAAGTTTTAGAGGCTATATAAAACGTATTAAAGTTTACT